TCACCTCAGCCTCCCAAAGGCGCGGGATTACAGGCTGAGCCACCGAGCCCGGCTGCAAATGGTACTTTTTAAAGGAAGGTTTTTAAAGAAAAAGGTGGCAGAAGTAAAAAAATAAAATAAAAAGTTATAGAATGGAATTTGATTATTTACAGCAAGATTATAGCAAGAGCTACTAAAAATGTGTTTGTATTTAGTATATGCAAATATAAACACAGTGTAAAATCTACCTATATAGAATGAAACATTTTCAAAGTAGCAACATTATCATTTAATTAATATTTCTTGAGCATATTATAATAACCATGTTATTAATGAGGACACTGAGTAACAATCGAAGGATAACATAACTGGATGCCAAAATCAAGATTCAAATTCTGGTTTGTTCATGATTTTCCCATTTCAAATCCAAAAAAAGTCAAGGCTGCAATCTAGAGAAATGACACTGTCACTAATTTTACAATGTACACAGAAAGAGGAGCAAGTTTGGAAGAGAAGATTGCCTAATGAAACCAAGAGAAGCATTTATCTAATTCATCTGTTTGCACAGTTCCAAAACAGCAGCCAAAGGACCAAAGAGAAAACTATACTTAATGAGGATTTAATTCAAGACAGGTAATCTCTAAATTCTTTAAAAAACATTTTAAGTAGTATGTGACACATACTAATGAATAAATGTAAGATATGCAAGTTATAAATATAAGAAAATAAGCACCCATAAGCCCACCACATAATTTAAGAATTCAACCATTACTAGACCATACAAAAATGGAATCATGTCCTCTGCAGCAACATGGATGCAGCTGGAGTCCATTATTCTAAGAGAATCAATGACGCAGAAACAGAAAACCAAATAATGCATGTTCTCATAAGTGGAAGCTAAAAACTGGGTACATACAAACATAAAGATGGAAACAATAGAGGTGGGGACTAAGCAGACTAAAGGGTGCAGTGAGGACTGGAATTTCAAAACAAGTTTCACTTTTAATAGTTTTTTCATTTCCTTCCCTTCTTTAACAGATGAGGAACATCGTTCAGGAATGAAGTAGTATCAGGAAGTATCACCACTTGTTAAGCAAATACACACCTTTGTTTTCATTGTATTCTTACTCAGGGGTTAACTTGTTACATTATCTTTGTAGCTTTGTTTACATGACAACGGAGTGATTTTTTTGAATGCAACAGTAAAAAGATATAACTTTTTGCCTGGTTCTGGGGAAAGGGAAACCTCCTCAATCATCCATAATTGTTAAGGGTGCAAGTAAAGCATGCATTATTAATATCTGTGTGTAGGACACCATTTTAGGCGATGTGTTTCCTTATGCGTAAAAAGCAGCCCCTACCTCCCAAGATCCTTTAGGATTCGAGGAGAAAATGTAGATACATTGCTTAATTCAGTACCCATATCATAATTAAAGATTCAGTAAATACAGGTTATCATTTCTGCACATCTTTCCACTTTCATGTCAATTCCTATTTGACACAAATGTTTCCCCTGCTGTGTTCCTTTACATTCCACTCAATCCTGAAATTAGCGAAGACGTCTAGAGGCACTACCTACATCAGCCTGAGGACAAGAAGCGGCCAGAGAAGTATTTCACGTTTTAGGTATCCGGTCACGCTCAACTTCTTTAGTGACTTTTTAAGTTTCTATAGGGTAGCAACTATGTTTTATGCATCTTAATATAGGACGGATGAAGGGCAGAAAGAACATATGAACGTCATCTAGTCCAATGCCTGTTCCTCCTATGGTCACTCTCAATAACCAGATGATGAGGGTTGGATGGGAATTTAGAGAGCATGCAGTACACACTTATTTTTATAAGTAAGAAAACAAGTCCACAGTCGATGAGTGACTTGCCCCACGGAGCGCTTAACTGGAATCCGGGAGTCGAGACCCGATCCACGAGTGCGCCCACGAGTTAATACGAACGCACCACGTTTATCCAGGCACCGAAGGGAGTCACAAATTACACAGGCGTGTTTCCACGTTAGGCATCACCCCAACACCGCACACAAAACACAGCCACACCCAGCGAGGAGATACCTACGGCATTTTGAGTTTCGAGGAAGCGCCGCCGCCGCGGGACAAAGCGAGCCACCAACTCCCGCTGAGAACAGAGACCGCCGCAGGAAACCCGGCAGCACGAAAAGCGCGGGCTCGTGGGCGCCGGACGCTGCGCCACACCGCCCGCCGTCCGCCGGAAACGCGTTCCCCGCGATCAAGGATCCGAGCGTGTGCGAGGAAAGGGGGAGGTGGGGGAGTCTTGTCCCGGGGCGGCATCCCGTCCCTGTTGGGTGCCACGCGGGACCCTCGCTCACGACGGCGGCCACAGCAGCCCCACGGCAGAGGAGCCGCAGGGCCCTCTCGATTCGCTCGGGATCAAAAATTTCCTCTATTTCTAGCCGGATCCTTTGGGGCGGTGCTCCGCCTGTTATTTCCGGTGGCGTCGAGGCGCGGTTGCCGTGGCAACTAGAGGACGGCCGATGGCGGGCCGGCGGGGGCGGCGGCGGCCGCGGCCGCGAGTGGCCCGCGCCCCCGGGGAGAATTGGCTGCGCTTCCTCGATTGAGAGCTGGAATTAGGTAGCCGACGGCTCTCATCTCTGTCTCTGTCACTTCACTCGCCCGTCCCTCCGCGGGCGGCTTCCTCCTCTCCCCCTGTGGCTCTTACTCCTCTGCCCTGACCGGGCGTCCGCGTAGTCCCGGAAAGGTCCTCCCGGTGCCGTTTTATTTCCAGAGGAACGCCAGAACTGAGGGACGTGGCCGAGATGGCCCGTGGACGTCTTCGCCGGGTAGGAGGAGCGGCGGCCGCGTGGATCTGTTTCCACGTGGCCCTTCGGAAGCCGCCGGCGCGTGCGAACTGTTTATTTTTCTTGCTGTTGTGCGGCGGGTTATTTATGGCGCCGTTTGCTGCTGCGACTGGCTCTCCAGGCCCGGTCTCGGTCTCGGGCTGGAGTTTTAAATGGAGGAGGTTTCCAAGCCTGAGGGGTGCCGTCTTGTGTTTATGGACGCTTCGGTGTAGGCTCTCGTGGCAGAAAAAAGGGAAAGGGTCGAATCCTGGTACATTTCTGTCTTGGGATTTGCACGTGAGGGAGGCACCTTATTGGGGAGAAAAATAGTATTTAAAGATGAGCCTGAAAAAATACTTGCATGCAAACATTGCCTACGGAAAAGTGGACGTCCGTGCTCCCTTCTTTCATGGAAGGGTTTTCTTTCACATTTGTGAGATGTGAGTTTTAAAACTCGGATGCTTAATTGCGGTGATACCAATTTGCAGTCACCAGACTGTGACGCTGCATCCCTGTGGGGTCCTTCTAAATCTGGTGTAATAGGAAAGTGTCAGGCAGGCGGTCTGTGTATTATAAATAGGGTACTTCATCCATGATAAGCGATTATTATCTTTCTTTCCCAAGTGTAAAAGGCCTATATAATTCAAGAAGGTGCAAGTGATTTGGGCCTCTTGAGTAAGAATCCAATGAGTCCTGAAGGGGACCCTACCTGTGTCATCTCATTGTTGAACTTGAAATATCCAATTTATTAGGTTGGAATGTATTTTTAGAAGTCAGAGCGAGTAAATTAATGTTGGAAGCTGTTAGGCCAGCGGCACAATTTAGTACCTCTTGGTAACCATTGCTCAATAAGCCTTCACCACGTTAACAAAGAAGAAACTGTTGTCAAAATGTACTGCCTTTTGCCACTTACTGCTGGCTGGGTGACATCTCGGCCCCTCAATTTCCTCATCTGTAAAACGGACAACAGGACCTGACCGTGGCAGCAAGGATAAGACAAGATGTATGACAGTTCTTTAAGCTTTCATGAGCAGAGGTGCTATAGAAACCTCAGATATTATTATTAGTAAAGAAACACAGTAAAACTCCATGACAATGCTGTAAGTGGGACTTTAAAGATTCAGTTATTTGAAATGTGGAGCTGCATTATTGAGATGTTAACAAAATGATCTTGTTGATTCAGCAGGGTGTCAATTACCAGTCATATACAAATTCTCCTTTTTGGTGGAAGTCCACCTCATCTATAGTTACTTTAGCTCTTATTATGTGCCAGACAGTGTTCTGTATGCTTCACCTGTATGAACTGATTCAGTCCTCTTAACCACTCTGTGAAAAGTCTTCACCTGAATTTTATTTTGAGAAATGAGACATATGCTTTTCCTTTGTCTTATGATTCTTCTTTCGTTTGATGTTACATCTTTGTTCTTTTGGCTGTTATCACATACTTCAACAATTATATACATAAAATACATAAAAAATTAGAAATCAACTGCCAAAGACTTATTCTACTTTAACACATGAAAATATATCCATACATATATGTATATATATATATACTATAATATTCATGTTTATTTTCTAATAGAATGGCTGTCAGTCCAGGAAGTGATGCAGATCTCCTCAGTCAGAAATCATCGCTTTCAGAGAGTCCTCGAATAAAGAAATTTCCACCAACTGAAGAGGAGATATTTTATATGAATTGTAGAGCTGCCTACTTAACTGTCTTTAAAAGTAGCTTAGAAAATATTATTTCTAAAGATCAACTTTGCCTAGGTAAATTTTTTAATATTTAATTATTTTGCCTTTTTGTTGAAAGTTAATAAATAGGTAAGAAAGATTGGAATTAGAATTACATTGTTGAGTCATACCACTTTCTTAGTGAAGCTTGAGCAGTGGAACTACAGTAAGCTATTATACCTTTTGGTTTTTTGAGTTGAAGTCTCACTCTCTTGCCCAGACTGGAGGGCAGTGGCATGCTCCTGGCCACCGTAACCACCACCTGCTGGGCTCAGACAATCCTTCCACCTCAACCTTGCAAGGAGCTGGAACTACAGGCACGCACCACCATGCCTGGCTCATTTTTAAATTTTTTCTAGAGATGAGATCGCCAAGTTGCCCCGGCTGGTCTTGAACCCATGGCCTCAGGCAGTCCTTTTGCCTCAGCCTCCCAAAGTGCTGGGATTATAGGTGTGAGCCATGGTGCCCGGCCTCTATTTATTTATTTATTTTTAATTAAGTCAGATCTCACTCTGTCACCCAGGCTGGAGTGCAGTGGCACACTAACTGCCACCAAATCCTTGACCCGCTGGGCTTAGGCAATCCTTCCACCTCAGCCTTTCAAGTAGCTGGAACTACAGGTGTGCACCACCACACCTGGCTAATTTTTCTTGATTTGTCGTAGAGACAAGGTCTCACCAAGTTGCCCAGTCTGGTCTCGAACCCCCAGGTCTAGGCAATTCTCTTGCCTACTTATCTACTTATCGAGTACATGTTTTGGCATATTTAATCTTATTCTGAGAAAGTTGTTCTTTTGTAATTAACAGTATATTTTTAACACAGTATTTCTTTGTTACATAGTAACAGGTATATGCTAAGCTGCCACTTGGAAAGAGTTACAAACCCATTGCCTCAGGCACTCCCTAAGTGCTGGGATTACAAGCATGAGCCACTGTACCCAGCCAGTAAGCTATTATAACATTTTATGTGGTTATATATTCTAAGAGCTTCAAAATAAAATTTTCAATGTTTATACAGACTAGATTGATAATTTAAAGCATTCGTCAGTTACTACTTGCTTAAAAATACGTTTAGTTCTCATTTTGGTGAATATTTATAATAGTAGAATTAAAGCACTTTTGGCATCTAAGTTACTAGTCTAAATTTAATCTATAATGGAGAAATGTAAAGGATTTATAAAAATGGGTTGAATGTCTGAAAACGTGAAGGATTGGAAGATAAGTAAAATATTGAAAGAGAATTAAGAGTTCTGGAGTTTTTTATTTTTATTTTTAAAAATTTGTTTGCATTTGTCTTTAATTGCTTCTCTCTATTATCACGTTTTAAAATTCCCCAAAATCACTGACTATAGGCCTTGCTAGGAGTATCAAATGACTTGTAGGTCCTGGAAGAGTGGTAGAGAACAATACTAAACTGGTTATTCATGTCAGTTTCATCAGGGCTAGTAACTTTATTGGTAGAGAAACTGAGTTATTTTGCCAATTTTAGAAAAAGTTTCCTTAAACCAAAACTCTGATATATTTTTGCAGGAATGTCGGATTTGTATGCAGTAAGATCTCTATTTGAAGAAATCCATTTTGGGGAATATGAGAATTGAACAGATTAAAATTTTTTTACTGTCTAAATAAAATATATTATTTGTAAAGTAGTTAAATGTAAATGCATGCCTGAAGCAATTTTTAAAGTCATGTTTAATTTTACTTTGATTTACATAATTTTTAAACTTGTAAAATGTTCTATTTTGCATTTTAAATGTGTTTAATTCACATACATGAAATATATAGGCATAAATTTAATAAATTAAAATCACTTATAATTTACTATGATTTCTAAAATGTCTCAGTTTTTTTTCTTTATTTATTTGAAAATATGTTGAGATAAAGACTTACTAAGTTTAAAAGTTTAACATGCTGTCCATCACTGTGGCATTTAGTTTGTAAATCAATGCATATGTATTACTAAGATGCTATCATTCTTACAAAATGATGTGGGTGGATAACAATGCAGTGTTTTTCTCCTTAGTGTTATACACCTTGGGCTTGTTGGTGGAGTAGTCTTAGTAATAGTGTAATAATTGATTTCAGATTATCTAGCTTTTAAAAAGGAGGAATGTGAACCAGGGCCATCTCTTTCTTACTGCTGTGTCTTTCCTTTATATCCTTCTGCCACAGATGCACATAACGTGTTCTAACATTTCCATTTCAAGGTCAGATAGAGCAGGAGCATTACCACAGCTGTAGAATTCCCTTTTGTCAATTTATAACTAATACAGACTCTACAGTATAGACTCATGCCAGAGCTTAAGGTCAACTCTGGCAAAGATCATTATCTTGGTGTCAACTTATAAACATCTACAATTACATAATATTTTTACTATCATCAAACTTAATGGTGGAATCCAACTAATTCTAAACCTAGAGATTAAAGGCCATTAATAGGAAATAGATTATATCTGCAAAAATATGTCAGTGATTTGGTTTAAGGAAACTTTCTAAAGATGTCAAAATAACGTAGTTTCTCTGCCAACAAAGTTATTAGCCTTGTTGTAAAAATAGATTATATCTACGATCATATCTTAGATATGAGGATATCTACTTATCGAGTACATGTTTTGGCATATTTAATCTTATTCTGAGAAAGTTGTTCTTTTGTAATTAACAGTATATTTTTAACACAGTATTTCTTTGTTACATAGTAACAGGTATATGCTAAGCTGCCACTTGGAAAGAGTTACAAACCCATTTTCTCAAAGATGGACAGAAAATACCATTTTATTTCATATGTACTTTTGACCTTCAAATTACTTCATTTAAGTTCTATTCCCAGCTTTTATTTTTTTCATTTTTTATTTTTTTGAGTCGGAGTCTCACTCTGTTGCCCAGACTGGAGTACAGTGGCCGCTTCGGCCACCGCAGCCTCGACCTGCTGGGCTCTGGTGATCCTCCCGCCTCCGCCTTCCAAGTAGCTGGAACTGCAGGTGCACGCTACCACACCCGGCTGATTTTTTTATTTACTGTAGAGATGAGGTCTCACCAAGTTGCCCAGGTGGGTCTCTAACCCGCGGGCTCAGGCAATTCACTCACCTCGGCCTCCCAAGGCGTGGGATTACAGGCTGAGCCACCGAGCCCGGCCTATTCCCAGCATTTAAAGCGTGGGAATTGACTGGGGTTGGAATCCTAAAACATATATAGCATTTCTCTGATTCTGCTAATAAATTATTTAAGGAGTTATTTATTTACAAACAAAGCAAATACTTATATTTTATTCCTAGGGCAGCATAGTTATCAGTACTTTTGTCTACATTCAAAATTAACCTGTGGAAATAAATTGTATTATCTCCAATGCTATGAATTTCCACAAGAACTTTATAGGCAAATGGAAGATGGCAGTTACTGTAGCTAAAACTTGTGTTAGCTCTGAAAGTCACCTTTAGATTATTTTATTGTTTCTATTTCTGTGCCACCATTTAAGTTATCTAGGTATAATGTATTGGCATAATCTAGGGAAAATTTCTCTTCATCCACAGACTTCTAATATGTTATTAACCGTAAGTCATGACCACAGATAACAATTTTATACTCAGATATGGACTTCCTATTTAGATCATAAAACTTATTTGGAACCAAAAATTTGTATCTGAATAAAAATCACCCTGTATTATGTTTGTGCGCAATAAATGCTCAATATAACTGACTAAAATGTCTTATCTGGTTTCCTTAAGTATATTTCTTTAGTTAAATTGTCTTATATTTGTTAGTGCTTATTGCATTAAATTGTAGAATATCTAGATTATCATTTTTAGTGCTGATTTATACACAGATCTTACAAATTCTCATCTAACATAGTTGGAAATATCTGACAGCAGATTTTATAATAGAATGTGGTAGCATAATTCAGGACAGTTATATCTTTTAAAATTATATTCTTTCTATGGTGCTTAGAAAATTTATCATTGGCTCATTTTAGATAATGTTATGTTTTAACATGCAGAGATTTATTTACAAATTATCAAATTACCTTTATTAAACTGTTCCAAAAAATCTACAATTCCTTTACTATATTTTAGTGTATACAATTCCTTTACTATATTTAGTGTATTTTAGTGTATTTAGTCCATTGTTATCTGTGGTCATATTTTAGTGTAATATATAATATGTAAATATACAAAGCTTTTCTTACATGTGATTCTTTGCCTTTCATAGATATAAGAACATGGTTTAAAATGAAGAATAGTTTGAACATTTTATCTCTGTGGTAGTCTTCTGTCAAAGTATGTTGAAGTTTTTTATTTTTAGCAGTGCTATAACTGCAAATGGATACTTTTTTGCATTTAGAACATGATTAATGCTCTTAAAAGCTTACTACCTAGTAATGAAGAACATTTTTGATATCATGCCTTGTTGACATTAATTTTGTCAAATGAGTGATTTTCTCATTTCATTATGATATCTGGTTTTTAAAAACTGATGCATTGTAATTGTACATATTTAGGGAGTACAGTTTGGGCATTTTGATACATATGTATGTTATGTAACGATCAAGACAAGGTAGTGTATCCATCACTTCATGCATTGATCATTTCTTCGTGGTAAGAATATTCAGAAGCCTCTCTTCTAGCTATTTCATAATATATAATAATTTATTATTAACCATAGTCATCCTACTGTGTAGCAGAACACCAGAACCCATTTCCTACTCTCTAACTGTAATTTTGTACCCTTTTACCAACTGCTTCCCATCTTCCCTTCCCCCAAGTATTTTTGGATCTCTGAAGTACTTAGGGATACACTCCCCAGTTTCTGGTAACCACTGTTTTAGCCTCTGCTTCTATGGTATCAACCTTTTTTTTTAGATTCCCCATGTAAGTGAGATAAGCAGTATTTGTCTTTCTGTATCTAGCTTATTTCACTTAACACGATGTCCTCCAGTTTCATCCATATTGTTGCAAATGACAAGATTTCATTCTTTCTTTTGGCTAAATCGTCATTAAGTATTTGTTGAGTCAGAAAACATAATAATGTATGCTTTTTGTGGTTATCCTATGTCTGCAAAACAAGTGGATGGTTATTTTACATCTTTTTCCTCTGAAATCTCTGAAGTAAATCAGCTATCAGTTTTTAAACCATGTAGGTTGAGAACCAAACTGTTAGAACAGGAAAAAAATCTATTTAATTCTGGCATCAATAATTCGTGATTCTTTAGCGGGTGGCATATATTTTTATTTTTGAAAGTTAAATATACATTGATACCACTAGATAATCAACACCAAAGATAATATTTTGGTATATGTGTAGTATATTTGTTTAATATCATACTATATATGACTTGAAGAAAAAACACTTAAATACACTTAAATACCAATTCCAAATGTTATAGTAACAAATAATGCTTGTTTTATTGGGCAGCTCTTCAGTATGCAGGAAGAAATCCATCCCAAAAGACCATTAATAAGTATTGGACTCCTCAAACTACCAAACTGAATTTTGATGATTTTTGTATAATTGTAAGGAAGGAAAAACCTACTTCAAAAGCAGAACTGCTGAAATCATTTAAGCAATTAGATATAAATGACAATGGCTCTATTTTACACACTGACCTTTATGCATTTCTAACAAAGGTAAGATTTGTGAAAGTGTTTTGTAATGCGCATATTTTGTACAACAGTTTGGAATCTAGCTAACAAAGTTCACATTAAAAATAATTATTTTATTGACAGGTGAAATGAATCACATTCATGTTATTTATAAAGTACTTAGGGATCCTTCTAAATGAAAGGTGCTTTGTAAGTAAAAGATAAAGTATAAAATTGAGCTTAGGTTACGTTACCTTTGTGCTCCTATGCAATTCTTTCCTGCCCAGAACCATTTGAAAATGAGAGATAGGTCGTATGTGATAAGTAAAAAGAAAACAAAGTGTAAATGGCATTTGGAATCCATTCTGTTTCTTGTTATAATTTTAGAAAATTTCATTACTCTAAATTCAATAGCAGTTATTACTGACTGTGACATTCAATTGTTAGAATTGAGTAAACTGAAACTCAGCATACTTTCACAAAATTTAATAAAGTTATGAAATTTTATGTAAGACCCATTCTTGCTTGACATAATGTTCATTGTAATGATTTATAATGGAACCATATATTCAAACTTACTTGTAGAAAAGATTAAAATGTACTTCCACTAGTATCCCTGTGTATAACAAAGTGGTAATCATGTTGCTTTAAAATAAATCTTGTTTTTTTTCCCAGAGAGGTGAGAAGATGACTCAAGAAGAAGTAAATGCCATAATAAATTTGGACGATGTAAATTCTGATGGCAAATTTGACTACATCAAGGTACATAAGCTCATATTGATGTAAATTTGCATTCTATGTAGGAAAAGTATTTTTATTTTATTTTTCTTCAGTTTTATTAAGGTATAATTGACAAAAATTGTATATAGTTATGGTAAGCATGTAATGTTTGATATATGTACACATTATGAAGTGATTAAATTAAACTTAGCATGTCAAAAAAGTATTTTTAAAGAGACACATCTTTTTAATATTGGCAGTGATATCCTTATGTATTGTATAGTCATTGTACTTGAAATTTGAAATCTCTAGTCCCCTAATTGTAATCTGATGACTACATTAAAAATAATATGACCAAGTTAAAATACATATGTGCTATACACAACACACACACACGCACACACACACACACACACACACACACACACACACACACACACACACAACTATAGAGACTTCCTTCAGAAGTGTACCTTTTCTGGTTGGAAGAATCATAAAAATTATTTAGAACAAACGCAAGTCTACACATGTCTTGTAAAAAAATAATCATAAATCACCTCTCCTTGTGTAACATTTTATTTTCACTCAGAGTATGACCTCCTCATTGAATCATGGCTGCATTTCACTAGGTCACTTGAGGCTGGTCAATCTGATTCAAGAAAATAAAATGAGTAACCAAGTTCAGCAGGAAATATATTCCATCTATCAGTCTATCCCTTGCCTACTAATGTGCATTTGCCTTCTCCTCCTCCCAAATGGATGGCTGAATGTTTTACCCACTGGACTACTCTTTTATTTCCTATAGTTTTGTAAATTATATATGACAACCAATGAGCAATGTCTCAAGACTATACTAGAAAAACTGGAGGTTGACGGTAAACTGAGACGTCAGCAGTTTGGAAGCCACACTGAAGAATTCCTTGAAAGGGACTCATCACCAGGACCAAAACCATCACCAAGAACCATTAAGAAAATTGATCAGGAAACATTCTCAAATAAAGGTATTTACTTCTAAACTAAGAATTTCTTGATCAAGAATGATCATATGCAGATAAATTTTTCTTCATCTCAGTTTATCAGTGATAAAACAAGTGAGAATATAACCTTTGTTAGCTACCATTTCTAGACTCTTTTTGCTGGAAAAAATCTATTGAAGTAAAATTTTATTATGGAACTTGATTTGGCTATGCTCATTATATTTTATTAAAACCAAAAATTCAGACTAAAAGTTGGCATTTTGAAGCAAGGAATCTTATTAGTAGCCCATAAATTAGGGACCATTAAAATCTGATAAATATAAAACTGACTTTGTTTTAACAGGAAGAACAAAGAAGCTGAGAATATATAGTAGACCTTTTACACTGCACTGTGTTTAGAAACAAACTGCTACCGACAACTTTTCTTAATGTGAAACCAAATAATCGTTACTTGTTACAGGTAACACCGGGAGTTCTTTACTGTCAACAACAAGAAAGTTCAAAACATCTGTTTCCTTCATAATTACTGTGGGTGCTAACAGTAGCCGAAACTCAAAGTTTACTGAACCAGACTTCATAAAGGTGTAGTATTTTTTAATTAATTGATATGACTTTTTCTGAAAAAGTTTGACATTGTTTACTAAACTATTCAGTATCTACAGAGAACCAGTAAAGTTCATGAAGAAATTCTTTGAGTTTTTTTCTGTGGATTGCATTTCTGTCTGTAAGCCAGTATAATACTTTTAAAGTAGAAATAATAAATATGCATATTATTATAAGGTCGTCAGTTAGAAAATGATGACTGTTAAGTTTTTAAACTTGATGAATGGATTATCTAATTACATATTTTGGCAAGCAAATCTTTTGTTTTGCTTAACAAATACTTTTCATAGGTGCTTCTTACAAATAAATCATTCATTCAATATCAATTCCTATGAGAGAAAGACAACAAAGTCACTTTGCTAAGTCAATATTTGTAGTGCTAATATTGATCTTCTTTCTTTGTTTTCCCTTTCTAGACTCAGCCTTTACTAGTTTTCTTTCAACAGAAAATAATAGCTACAGAAATATAAAACATTAACTGGAAACTGCTAGGATACATTAAAAATGTGCACCTAGAGACCTCTGTAAAAGGGGGAAAAATGGTTATGACCACATACTATAACTGCTGTTAGAAAACTGAACTGATTGTACTCAAGAGCCACATTTTTGTTTCAAATAACAACTCTGTATTTGTTATTGAACTCTGAAGTCCCTTATATCTTTAAATTGCTAGACAGTGACATTTGTTCTATATTAAAATTTTAAAACATTATCTCCAAGGAATTTTGTTCATACTGTTTAGGTATCTACACACCCTAAGCAATTTGGTGTGCATGTCCAACATGTTCACACACAATATTTAGTGTTCCAGCAATATTATTTTCCACCAATGGACACTTTCTGTATTTTGCAACTAAATTAATTGCTAATATAATTAAATTAGTTAAATAATTATGGTTTATCTGATTCAAAAGTGTAAATAACTATGATTTTAGCCAGTGTAAAGAGAGAAATAAACATTAATGTGGATTGCATTAAGTAATGATAAGACTTTTTGTCTGTGTCATTAATTGGGCCCATACCAATATAATTTTAAAAACTCAGTTCAATGAATATTTATGAAGCAGGTTTAATATATATATATGTATGTATACACATATACCAGTTATTTTGCTTAGTTTAAAATATGGGCCTTGAATTTTAAAAAATAGAAAATTTCCTTTGATTATTAACAGTTTGCCAAGGTAAGTATAGCAGAGTATTTTATTTGCTCATTCATTTATTTGACAGCTATTTATTGAATGACTTCTCTGTGCCAAGCAGTGGTCTAGAGGCAAATTAAGAGCTTTGAATAATGAAAGACTTGAGCTCGAATCCTAGCTTTGTCACTTAATAACTGTGCAACCCTTGGTAAGTTAGTCAGCAACTCTTCTGAGTCTCAGTTTTCTTGTCTATAAGTTGGAAATAATTATATTTAGTGCACTTTGGAAAGATTTATATCATGTGTAAAGCATTCAGAACAGTGCCAGGGACATTGTATTTACTTGAATAAATAATAGTATTAATATTATTGCAGAACTAAGAAATGACTGGAGGTCTTTAAGTGGGAATGACTTTATGAATGTATTGATTAAAAATAAGTAAATCTACTATTGTGTATGGAGACCTCAAATTAGAGAGACTAAGAGTTATCCAGGTATAAAGCGTTGATGGCTTGGGCTAGATTAATACCTGAAAGCAGCAAAGGCGGCTCTAGGAGACAATGCCATCTAGTAGGTGGTCTAACAAGAGAATTCTTAAGTTCTGTGTCTGAGACATTAAGAGCAGGGAGTAGTGTGCATGGTAATTGGGCATTAAGTAAAGTTACCAAGAGAGTGTAATGATTAAAAGAAGATAACGTCAATTTTTTAATTCTGCAAGTTTCATATAAAATATATTTGGGGAATATTTGATAGCTCTGGGTATCTTGCCTTTTAGTATCTGTTTCTGATCTTGATATTGCCCACTGCTGCTTACTGTAGCTGGTATTTCTTAGATGAGCTGAAATGATTTTTTTTTTTAAATCTGTGACCCTTTTGTTATCCAGCAGTGTTCAGTTGTTTGTTTGTATTTTCTTTCAAAGTTTTGTTCTGCTAGACAAATTCTAGAACTGTAACATTTGGAGTTATTTTTAAAGATTTCATGCAATTTTATGCATTCCTGTGGTTTTATAACCACTCTGAAAAGTACTTGGTTATGAATATACAGAACAAATTACTAAAAGGATGTTAAATTAATTTTCTTCAAATACTTTAAATCTATTTTAAACAAGTTTGAGTACCTCAATGTCATGCGGAACAGAGATGTATGGAATTGGGATAGAGAAGGAGGGACTTTTCAGAAATTAGAAAATTATTGTAATGGGGTAAGCATAAGCCCTATTTTAAACCATAAATCCACATAATTGGTAAAAGACTTCATTTGCAGGAGGAAAATAAGATCCTTACAGGAACTGCACATGTATTACTTTCTATCAGCCATAATTAGGTACCGTATTACTATTCTGTTTTAATCCTGAATTCTGTCCATTTACTTAGGTTCTGTACTGTTCAAGGAATGTCAAGAATGTTCCCTTGAGGGGGGAATAGATTCAACTTCCTTGCTAAGGCTAGTCATGACTAGAAGTAGAGTAAGCCCTAAGCTGTCAACTCATATATGCCCACATTTATGTTTATACGTAAGTTATGCAACATATGTACACACTGCACACATATATTGTACAGTCTATATATTATGTGTCTATGTGCATATAATATAGCATCTATGTTGTTTACCATATATATGGCATATATATATCTATATGTAATGATACAAATATAAACATTTTAAACTCAAAATTGTTTACCATCTGCTAATTTTTTTGAAAGCTCCATATAATAATGTTGTCATAACAGTTTCTCACATTTTCAAAATGTTGATTTATTCAACATTTCAATTAGGTGGCAATCCATATGAATTTTCCCTTCATAATTCATCTATTTAACCTTTTATTTTTGTGTATAGTTTATAATTCTTTAATAAACAAAAATTCAATAGCTATCTATTTATCTACTTGTCTTATAACACAAAGCAAATAGTTTGTTAATAAGTATGTGACATAAAATGTCTTTATAAAAAACAACAATGATGATGGTGATGTAAATTCCTCCTCTGATTAACTGCGGCAGACTTTCCACTTAATAATTCTTCTTCACCTAAAATTTTTTTTTTTTTTTTTTTAGTTGGAATCTCCCTCTGTCACCCAGACTGGAGTACAGTGGCCGCTCCTGGCTACCGCAACCTCGACCTGCTGGGCTCTGG